ATTATGAACGTTTGATTTAAGTTTTAATAATTGTACTTTTTGTGTATTTAAACTGTATCTTATTTTGTTACAAAATTAATCTTGCTGCTCTGACTGCCACTGACTTGTTTACCTTTTGGCCTTGTTTTGCATATACTTGAACTTCCTGTCATCCTTATCATACTGTATTTATTCCTCATGTGTAAATGTTGTTTATGGAGTCACGTTGTAAAATATCTGGGAAAATAAAGATTTACTGAACTGAACATTTGAACACACTTTTGTTACCATATTTCTGAACCTGATTATTAGCGTCTCACCCCTCTCTACTCCTATCACTTTTTTCTACCCTGTTATCTCTTCTCCTATCACCTTTTGTGTAATATGTTGCTCCAAGTGAGGCTGAAGTAGAGTCGACCAGGCAATAGAAGAGAATAGCATTGAAAGGTGTTCCCCTTTCAGGCCCACTAATAATAGAGCCCTCTTGGGAAGTGTGGGTATATCTACTGCAGTGAGCCTATTTAAGGTAAGGTGACCCTCTGAGGGTGAACTAAAATCGTCCTCAACAAAGATTTCAAAGGCTTAAACTTGAACTTAAGCTAGGATAACAATAATATATATTTGGTGGCTTGTTTATGTTTATTATGTAAGATAAAACAAGAGGTGTGCCTAATGACAAGACTGGTGAAAAATGTAAACAAGAAGCAATAAGAAAACTGCATGTAACACCAGATCATGGCCATACATATCTTCAGCTTTAGCATCGACATCCTTAATAAGAAAGTCCCTAACTTCAGCAGGCACAATGACTTCACCCATGGATTTGGGCCTTTTACTAAGTAGATATACATTTGATCTGATAATTGTATTTCAAAATAGGAAAAGCACTTGAACATCTGAGTCGGCTTGCGTGGGAATAATTAGATTAAATCTTAAAGAAAATAAAGTATCACTTCAGGTTATTATGCTTACATGCCTGTGTCGTTGGTCAGAGCCTTTTATTAAATCTGAAAATTGCATGCCAAATTATTTTTCAGAATGAAGGGAAAACAGGTATCATGTTAGGTAGCTGTAACACCTATAGTGCCTTCAGAAAGTATTCACACCCATTGAATTTTTCACATTTTGTTGTGTTACTAGCTGGAGCTTAACATTTATTAAATTGAGATTTTGTGTCACTGGCCTACACACAATACCCCATAATGTTAAAGAGGTTTTTAGACATTTTTACAAATTCATAACCTTTTTAAAGCTGAAATGTCTTGAGTCAATAAGTATTCAACCCCTTTTTTATGGAAAATAAGTTCAGGAGTAGAAATGTGCTTAACAAGTCACATAATACTAATTCTGTGCAATAACAGTGTTTAACATGATTTTTGACTACCTCATCTCTGTATCCCAGATATACAATTATCTGTAAGGTCCCTCAGTCGAGCAGTGAATTTCAAACTCAGATTCAACCACAAAGACCAGGGAGGTTTTCCAATGCCTCGCAAAGAAGGGCGCCTATTAGTAGATGGGTAAAAATGAAAAAGCAGACATTGAATATCCCTTTGAGCATGGTGAAGTTATTAATTACACTTGGGATGGTGCATCAATACACCCAGGCACTACAAAGCTACAGGCGTCCTTCCTAACTCAGTTACCGGAGAGGAAGGAAACCACTCAGAGGCCAATGGTGACTTTAAAAACAGTAACAGAGTTTAATGGCTGTGATAGTGGGGTCACTGTAGTGGTTCCCTGTAAGGTACATTCATTGTACCATTAGTTATAGGTACATAGTTGTCCCCTTGCATTTCGTACCTTAAAATAGCCAATGGAGTCCACAGGTACAAAAGCGTACCTTTAGAAAAGGTACAAATTGGCCTTTTTATGGTACCACCACAGTGACAAAGCCGTAGGTTCCTTGTAAGTGGCAGAAATGTATCTCCTCAATATCAGGTCCCGAACAATTACACATCTCTGTGCCATTCCACTTCTGACACCAGTGGAGCAAATTTGAGGGGTAGCTCCGACCAGGACTTGAACCTGGGTCAAACGACTGTCATGCCAACACCTTAACCATTACACAGAGAGTTCCATACCAACATTCACTCAGTGTTGGGTTAAGGTCACTACAATATTAATTACAGCTCTTTATTTTCATATGTTCTTATGTAAGCCTTTATAAAGAGCAGGTTGACTTTTAATGCCACGAGTCTTGCCCTGGAGGCAGAACTGACCGTAGAAATTAATGAAAACTAAAATTATGTTTTTAGTCATAATTTAAGGTTAGGGTTAGGCATTAGGGTTAGCAGTGTGGTTAGGTTTAAAATCAAACAATGTTATGACTTTGTGGCTGTGCCAGCTAGTGACCACTTCTACAGAGCTTCCTCTAGTACAATAGTAAGCTCATTAAATACCAACCTGCTTATAAAGAGTTCAGCACTTGCAGCAGACAAGCTCAAATTTTTATTAACATAACCATAGATCACTTAAACTGGTACAACACTTCAACTAGCAGGTGGCCAGATCTTTTTGTAGCCCAGGGAACAATACTGTACCCTGACCGTACCTTTTTTTCAGAGACTGTAGAATAACTTATACAAACTGTACCCAGCTAATGATTGCAAGTATACAGTAGGGAAAAAAAGTATTTAGTCAGCCACCAATTGTGCAAGTTCTCCCACTTAAAAAGATGAGAGAGGCCTGTAATTTTCATCATAGGTACACGTCAACTATGACAGACAAAATTAGAAAAAATAATCCAGAAAATCACATTGTAGGATTTTTTATGAATTTATTGGCAAATGATGGTGGAAAATAAGTATTTGGTCAATAACAAAAGTTTCTCAATACTTTGTTATATACCCTTTGTTGCCAATGACACAGGTCAAACGTTTTCTGTAAGTCTTCACAAGGTTTTCACACACTGTTTCTGGTATTTTGGCCCATTCCTCCATGCAGATCTCCTCTAGAGCAGTGATGTTTTGGGGCTGTCGCTGGGCAACACGGACTTTCAACTCCCTCCAAAGATTTTCTATGGGGTTGAGATCTGGAGACTGGCTAGGCCACTCCAGGACCTTGAAATGCTTCTTACGAAGCCACTCCTTCGTTGCCCGGGCGGTGTGTTTGGGATCATTGTCATGCTGAAAGACTCAGCCACGTTTCATCTTCAATGCCCTTGCTAATGGAAGGAGGTTTTCACTCAAAATCTCACGATACATGGCCCCATTCATTCTTTCCTTTACACGGATCAGTCGTCCTGGTCCCTTTGCAGAAAAACAGCCCCAAAGCATGATGTTTCCACCCCCATGCTTCACAGTAGGTATGGTGTTCTTTGGATGCAACTCAGCATTCTTTGTCCTCCAAACATGACGAGTTGAGTTTTTACCAAAAAGTTATATTTTGGTTTCATCTGACCATATGACATTCTCCCAATCCTCTTCTGGATCATCCAAATGCACTTCAGACGGGCCTGGACATGTACTGGCTTAAGCAGGGGGACACGTCTGGCACTGCAGGATTTGAGTCCCTGGCGGCGTAGTGTGTTACTGATGGTAGGTTTGTTACTTTGGTCCCAGCTCTCTGCAGGTCATTCACTAGGTCCCCCCGTGTGGTTCTGGGATTTTTGCTCACCGTTCTTGTGATCATTTTGACCCCACGGGGTGAGATCTTGCGTGGAGCCCCAGATCGAGGGAGATTATCAGTGGTCTTGTATGTCTTCCATTTCCTAATAATTGCTCCCACAGTTGATTTCTTCAAACCAAGCTGCTTACCTATTGCAGATTCAGTCTTCCCAGCCTGGTGCAGGTCTACAATTTTGTTTCTGGTGTCCTTTGACAGCTCTTTGGTCTTGGCCATTGTGGAGTTTGGAGTGTGACTGTTTGAGGTTGTGGACAGGTGTCTTTTATACTGATAACAAGTTCAAACAGGTGCCATTAATACAGGTAACGAGTGGAGGACAGAGGAGCCTCTTAAAGAAGAAGTTACAGGTCTGTGAGAGCCAGAAATCTTGCTTGTTTGTAGGTGACCAAATACTTATTTTCCACCATAATTTGCAAATAAATTCATAAAAAATCCTACGATGTGACTTTCTGGATTTCTTTTCCTCAATTTGTCTGTCATAGTTGACGTGTACCTATGATGAAAATTACAGGCATCTCTCATCTTTTTAAGTGGGAGAACTTGCACAATTGGTGGCTGACTAAATACTTTTTTTCCCCACTGTACTTTGGATTACATAATGTGCATGAGCAAAGCCATTCAGGTTGATTTCAGTTGAAAAACCCACAATTTGTTCATCTGTTATATTGAAATAACAATATTAATATAGGAGTTGATTTTGAGCATCCAGTCCATTTGCAGTATCCTTTGGCAATCTATTGTTTGGCTAGGGCACTAAACAAAGAGCTATTGTTTGTTCTATAAAAAGCCACCTGAAAGCAGCCATGATTACCGTAATGAGCTTAAGGTCTTACAAGTGTGATTTTTTCTTTGCTTTAACGTGCCATGTGCACACTGAGGAGTTCACTGAAAGCCTCTCTAATCCTTTCAGCTCCTTGTCCTCTACAAGTACACAGGGATGTTATTCCATAAGACAAGCTGTAAGATATTGATGTTATGCAAAGGGATCAACAGAAAACATGAAAATGGATATACAGATATTTCATTGAAAAAGTGGACACTTTTGAATGGATTTGTCTCTGTTTTGTGTTGGTTTACTTATTTTTTGTAAGGATAAAGAACCTGCCAGAATCAACAACTCTGTCACGGATTGGAGCCATCTGAAGATGACAGGTGCAGCTGATAGCTAAGGACCTTGGCTATTCTTTTCTTTCATTTGTGGAGGTTATTTCCCCTCCGTCTTTGTGGGAGTTTCACAGAGATCTTGTTCACTGAGGAAATCAACTTAAATTGAGCTGCCGCAATGGGCTGTTCCCCATCTAATGGTAACAATTTTGGGGGTCAGGACACCTTTAGAAGGGGCAGGACACTACTACCAGGGGGCCAAGAGAGCCCAGGGAAGTCCCAGTCTGATGATGGAGGGAGTGGAGGCTCCTCCGGAACAGGAGACACAGATGGAGAGACTTGGGAGAGGGGAAGTGGGGAGAGGAGAGTGGCTGGTCAGACCTACTCTGTTCAGAAGGAAGCACCTTCAAACCCCACAGAAAAAGAGACCCACCCTGACCGAGTTGGTTCCAGAGGGGGTCATCCTGGACAAAAAAGTGGGGACTCAAGAGACAGATATCAACACAGGGCCACGTGGAAAAGAGAAACAAAGAGATAAGCAAGATATGGCTGACAAAAAGGGTGGACGAAAACCCAAAAAAAATGGCAAAGGAATCAAACCGACCAAAAAGAAAGAGAAGGAGAATAAATCTCTCCTTGTGGAGCAGAAAGTTGACTTTCCGGAACCTTTAGTGAAAGCCCACCAGGCTATGTATGCCTATTTGAACCCAAGCATCAACAAATATGAGATTCTGCTGGGGCTCCTGGACCAGGCGACCCAAACCCAGGTGTCTGTGCAGCCAATGGTGACCTTCATGGCTATGCGCTACGAGGAAATCAACCGAGGGCTGGAGGAAATGGCAGACGAGGGTGAAAGGCTTCTGAAGGACAATGGGGAGCATCTCGCCTGGCCAAGCCCAATGAAAAACCTATCCAGTTTTCCCCCTCTGAAGTTTGGATCCACCAATGCTGAGCCTTCACCAGACCTCTTGCAGCAGCTACTTCAGTATACCACTCAAAGGATGCAAAATGTGAACCAGTCTGTGGGTGGCATTGGGGACTCTGCCTTAGAGGAGGCAGCTGAGTACTTCATCTCTGTCTCTGAGCTGCTGGAGGAGAAATTAAAAGCTAAGCGTAAGGTGGAGACAAGACTGATGCAGTTGCTGACTCGCATTGAGGCTGCCTCACTCCGTAAGCCCGGACCAGAGGACTCTGCATTGTTCAGTGAGGACAGTGGAATTGGGGCCGAGAGCGAGTCACTGGCTGGGTCTGAAAGAGTTCGCCGTGGAAGCTGTGAGTACACTGCGACCAACCGAACCACTCCTTACAGTCCTATTGGCACCAATGCTACCCCAGTCCAGCAAGGGGCACCAAGGCAACATTTTACTAAGAAGGTGAGCCCCAGCAACTCCCTAAACTCCATAGACTCAACCTGCACCACAATGGGTAAAGAGCAGAAAGACACAGAGTCACTATTAGGATCTGCCTTTTTAGATGATGGTGAGGAGGATGACGATGATGAGGAGGAGGGGGAAGAAGAGGGAGAAGGTGGCAGGAAGCGATCTAACTCTTCACCATCTGATCCTAACCAGCAACCTCATCGCCTGGCACCCAGGCGCATAGAGAACCCTCAAAATGTGGAAATGACCCTGAAAATGAAAGATGCCATAAGTGGTCGGATTAGATATGTTCCCTCACAATGTGACAGTGCCAAAACTAAACCAACAGACAGCCCCAAGATCAGCAGGCGCCAGTGGACAGATGGGGAGGAGCGATCACCAAAAAGGCCCCAAACTGCAGCCCCTGTACAGAGGGCAATTAAAAAGACCCCTGTTCCCAAAGAGTGCCGTTCACAGTCTGCCGAATCCCTCCACAGCAAAGGTGAAGATCCAACACTTCTTGAACTTGAGAGGACACAGAGGGATCTGAGTCAGAGGCTAGAGAGGATGAGCAAAGGCAGGATGGAAGGGAATGCTAATACAGGTCCCGCTAAACAGAACCCAGGAGATACTGCAAAGTCCCCGGCATCCAATCGTCTACAATCCACCCTGCAGAAGAACAACAACACTCTTCCAATTCAGGACAAGGCAGGGCTCACTAAGCATAGCTCCTGGGAACAGGGGGCAACCAAGGACATGGAGGAGGAAAATAAAAAGAAAGACAAGAAAACCCCCAAGGGGCAGTTGAAAGCCACCCCACCTCCTAGCCCTCCACTGTCACCTCGTCCGTCCTCAGGATTGTACCGGGGAAGGAAATCTGTCAAAAGGCTGATTGATACCTTCAGCCAGGGGGTGGACGAGCCCAAACAAGAGGCCTCCAAAGTGTTAGGGCCTATCAAAGGGGTTCGAGAGTGTGGGGTCCCTGTTATGCCTGGAGTAGGTGACATCGAGGCCATACTGAGCAGTGGGGTCAGCAGTTGTAGGACAGATGACTTTGACCTACAAAGTCTGCCACCCCCTCCTCTTGAGGTCCTGATGGACAATTCCTTTGAAGATGCACAAAGCCTCACAGTAAGCGAAGTAGATGATGGGGTTGCAAGTAGGGGTCGATCCCCTGTTCCCAAGAGGGCTACGGCATCTCAGAAGCTCCGTGCCTCCATGCAGTCTGTGACATTGCTACCCAGCAGAGGCAACCTGCCCCAGGGCTCTAGCAGCATGTCCCCTGCCCGGACTGTACGGCAGGATACCTCTGCTAGTTCCAGGATTAGCCACCATGAGCCTCAGCTGGAGGTAGACCCCGAGACAGAGGAGGCGGCCACTCTCTACAAGCAAGCCAGAAAAGTCATCCACTTGCGGCACTCCTCAGAGTCTCCAATGGAGAAAGGTCAGGCTGTGCCCAGGAGGCCCTCTCCCAATCGAGCAGCATCGGGAAGGAGACAGAGCGATGACTGCCCCTTCGAGACAGTGCCTCCCTCTTCAACCGTCAATAGCCAACCACCTGCCACCCTGCCTATATCTAGAGCTCGAATGCTGCCTTCCACACCTTCAACCCCAACCGGCTTGCATCGAAGACTCCCAAGCCCACCTGCCTCAAGACAAGTAATGACCCCAAACTCCACCTCTTCTGGCTCCACACATTCTTTCAAGGCACCCTCACCACCAGCGTCCCCTAGGGTACAAAGATGGAGACGAGAGAACAGCATCAACGACTCCACACCAGCGGCTTCAGCTATCTCTCAGTTAATCAGTAACGCTCGCTCTGTTTTCTGCCCGGCCTCGCCCTCACTGTTTGAGGCCCAACCCTGTCCCGTACCCCGCCCCCCCCAGACTTGGGCATCCACCGGTGGCCATGTAGTCCCACGTCCCTGGGGAGATCGTGGCAGGCTCCCTATGTCTGTGCGAGGGCCACAGCCTTTCATCCGACGCAGCCAGTCAGACCAGAGGCCCAGTCTAAGCCTGCCGCCCAGGGCAACCATCGTCTCATTCGCAGAGACTTGTGGGAGTGAGCCAACTATCAGCACACAAGGGTGAGTGTCAATGTTGCCCTCTCACTAAATCTCTCACTTTCAAAACCCAATAATAAAGTTTTATGCTCCCACTAGCTCTAATATCTTTCAATTCATAAATCGATGTGTTCACGGGCAAATTTAGTGAAGGAATAATAATAATAATAATAATATGCCATTTAGCAGACGCTTTTATCCAAAGCGACTTACAGTCATGTGTGCATACATTTTTACATATGGGTGGTCCCGGGGATCAAAGCCATCAAAGTTACAAGCGCCATGCTCTACCAATTGAGCTACAGAGGACCACAATGGTATGTCTATGATTTAGGATATTGCAATGAGTATTTGTTTTCCTCAAAGAAGGTAAAAGCCCCATGTCACTCTTCTTGTAGTCAAAACTCCCTCTCTGCTGTAGCACAGTATTGGATCACTAATAGGGAAACAATATGAACAAAGAATTGGGTGTCTTCATGATGCGATTATCATCCTGTTTTAGTTAGAACTGGAAATGAAAGAACAAGGCATGTGAATAATGTACCCCTCTATTAAAAATAGTCAGCACATATGGTCACCTTTCTGCTCCATTCAAGTGTACTATTGACTTGATTAATTTCACAATAGCCATCATACTATGTGCTCTATGCTTGACTAAAACTATTATTACAAATCACAAATATTCAAATACATGACCTCTGAAATTAAGTTCACTAATTGTGGGGCATGTTAGACAGGTTTCTACTTTCGGTTTTCATCTTTCATCAACACAACTTGTTATGGGTTACATACGAAGACAACTGCATTCATGCTTGAAACTGGACATTATTTTATTTTATCACTGAAGTTGAAAATACGATTAGAGAAATTATTTAAGAATCACAATGATATTTCAAAGAGCACCCTTGACTCTTTTTGTGATTGTCACCCAGATTCAAAGACGAATAATAGAGGGCAAATGTAATGGATTCACACACTATTGTTTGACTATCAGCATGAATGTCATTTGAAATCAATGACCAATATAGGTGATACAATTACAAGACACTTGAAAACTACTCCCAAGGTTTCAGGTCACATCAGTTTTCTCCTTTTGGTAACCAAATCATAAAATATTTTTTAATAGTTGGAAAACAACCAACTACACTTCTCCAAAGTGCAGTGTTTTGTGTTTTCAGGCTTGAATACGTTTAATTAGTTAATATTACTATAAGAACTGACATCCATTTGTAGGGGAGAGTGGGGTAAGTCATGCCAAAGGGTTAGTTGAGCCACCCAGGGCCGGCTCCAGGCATAAGCGACATAAGCGGTCGCTTACTGTTGAGAGTTAGAATAGTAGAATACACAAGGTGGCATTTTAAAATGTGGTTGTGCATCAGCACTTTTTCTGGTCCTCTGTAGCTCAACTGGTAGAGCCCGGCGCTTGTAACGCCAAGGTAGTGGGTTCAATCCCCGGGACCACCCATACACAAAAATGCATGCATGCATGACTGTAAGTCGCTTTGGATAAAAGCGTCTGCTAAATGGCATATTATTATTATTATTATTATTATTCTCTTGTTATGTCAGTCACTGACAGTCACTCAATTAGAATGTCAGCTAGGCAGCTATCTAAACTTGTAGTAATGATGGCCGAATAACGACCGGGCAAGCAGGGCTGGTGCCCAGGGGCCCTGACCTCCAGGGAGCCCCCATTGATTTAGTTAGTCATTCACACTCAGATATCATTAACAAGACTTAGTAAAATGTGTAGAATTGCAGGAAATTAGCTTTAAAACTACAAAGATTTCTCTCTGCCCCATGGCAAAATGAGTAGCATCGCATGAAATGTGTGCTTCTACATCTGCATTGCTTGCTGTTTGGGGTTTTAGGCTGGGTTTCTGTATAGCACTTTGTGCCATCTGCTGATGTAAAAAGGGCTTTATAAATAAATGTGATTGATTGATTGGTGGTATAAAACTATAGTATACTATAATTAGTATATATACTATAGTAATTAATGTAGTGTTTTTTTAGATTGTAGTATACTGTAGTATTTACTGTAGTGTTTTTGTAGACTGTAGTATTTACTGTAGTGTTTCTGCGGACAGTAGTATAGTGTAGTATTTACTGTAGTGTTTTTGCAGACATTACTGTAGTATTTACTATAGTGTTTTAAAAAAAAAAGTATCTTTGATATAGAAGTGGAGGCTTTCTCCTTGAGGAAACCTAATTGAGAAATATTAAAGAGCACATTTTCCATAACCTGTAGGTAGATAGGATTGGGGTCTGCTTCTGCTCTTTCTATAACCTGTAGGGGACACAACATATACTGTAGGTTTCTCACTTATGGGTGGCACAAGGGGAATGGGCAGGGTATATGCAAATTAAATACTGTAGTATTTACTATAGTTAAAAAGGTGTTGTGTTTTAACGGACGTTACTGTAGTAATTGCTGCAGTTATTTTTTTCTCTGATAATAGTGTAGTATTTACTATAACATTCTACAGTATACTACAACATTCAAGTACTACACATGATCTAGGATACTACAGTGTGTAGTATAGTATTCTACAGTATACTACAGTTTACTACAGAATTCTATAGTAAGTACTGTAGTATTCATTTCATGGAGTCTGAAGGAAGAAACCATATGGAAAAGTGATAAGCAAGTTAAGTCCAAAAAACAGATTTTCACAAAGTCAAATTAGTTTAATGTGTTATAAGTTTCATGAAGCTTGTATCTGAACCAAAATAGATTGTTTTAAGACTGTTTTATCCATCAGTTGGGGTCTATATAAGCTACAATATTTGGTCCTAAACCTAGCATGAAAGTGCATCCTTGTAGCTGTGTTGGCTAATATACTGTAGTCAAAATGTTTGCTTTGGTGTTAATTGTGCCATTTGGCCAGGGGAAAGTTGAGCCAATGGCTCCTTCATATCCCATACAAATGGTGATTACATTTAGTCAGTTTTATGCAAAATATGCATAGAATTTGTTTAGCAATTTGTCATGCATATGAACTCAAGTGCATTTTTATTGTTACAGAGCAGACATCATCATGCCCCGTCTATACAAACGTAAAACAAGCAGGGGTCTATTCCCCCTTGAGGTTCTTGAAAGAGCAGTCAAAGAAGTGAGAAGGGAAGTCCATTCGAGCCCCAAAAAGGGATGACACTGAAGAAGGGCGGCAGGTAGCTTAGTGGTTAAGAGCGTTGTGCCAGTAACCGAAAGGTCGCTGGTTCTAGTCCCCGAGCCGACTAGGTGGAAAATCTGTCGATGTGCCCTTGAGCAAGGCACTTAACCCTAATTGCTCCTGTAAGTCGCTCTGGATAAGAGCGTCTGCTAAATGACTAAAATGTAAGGTAAATGTAGGTAAATGTAAAAATAAAACTATGGCTCAACTTACACTGTCCCTACACTGTAAAACTTTCCCTGTAAATTTGCAGCATTATGCTGGCAGCTGAGTTACCAGGTAAATACTGTAATTTTGCTTTACAGAAGGGATGTTGTAAAATGTTTTACAGTAAGAAAAACAGTGCTGTATTATTAGTTAGTTATTAGTTAAAGAGCCTACTGTAATCATTACAGCAACACAGCTGTATTATATAATTACAGTAATTTTCTTGCAACTCTGCTGCCAGTATAATGCTGAAAAGGTACAGTACAGCATGTTACCGTAATCAGTTTTACGGTACCAGTACACTTACTGTAATGTTTTTACGGTAATTGTAACTAATACATTAATTAATTAAATTAATTGAGGGGAAGCGGGGTTTGTATTTTACAGTATTTACCTTTAACTGCATGGGATTGGTGCAAGCAGGTTGGCTGCTAGGTAACGTATTTTCATATTACAGCATATCAAATATATATACTGAGTGCACAAAACATTAGGAACACTTGCTGTTTCCATGACATAGAATGACCAAATGAATCCATGTGAAAGCTATGATCCCTTATTGATGTCACCTGTTAAATCCAATCAGTGTAGATGAAGGGGAGGAGACAGGTTAAATAAGTATGTTTAAGCCTTGAGACAATTGAGACATGGATTGTGTATGTGTGCCATTCAGAGGGTGAATGGGCAAGACAAAAGAGTTAAGTGCCTTTGAACAGGGTATGGTAGTAGGTGCCAGGTGCACCAGTGTGAGTGTGTCAAGATCTGCAATTCTGCTGGATTTTTCGCACTCAACAGTTTCCCGTGTGAATCAAGAATGGTCCACCACACAAAGGACAGCCAGTAAACTTGACACAACTATGGGAAACATTGGAGTCAACATGAGCCAGCATCCCTGTGGAAGGCTTTCGACAACTTCTAGTCCATGCCCCTACGAATTTAAGCTTTTCTGAAGGTAAAAGGGTCTGCAACTCAATATTAGGAATGTGTTCATAATGTTTTTTTCACTCAGTGTATATACCAAATATATATGAATATTTGGTATTTAATATCACTTGCACTTATAGAGGCCTTAGCAAAGGTTTCCAAACTTGCAGTGAGTACAGGGCAAAATAGACCAAAGACATAGCAAATACTCAACCATTAAAGGTTTTAGGCTTGCTGCCACTCTAATCTGTCCCCTATACACATTTAACTGTTGGGGACCTACTACCACATATCAGTTCAATTGGTACAGCACTCTCACTCACAGATGCAACAAATGTAGCATCTTACAAGACACGCCTCAAAATATGTAGATGAGACAGAAACAACAATACCATGCACCTGCTAGCGGTCAAAAGGCTTTTGGCGCTCCAGAAATACGGTAAGGTACTGTATTCTGTGTGGTGGAATTACAGTACCATTTGAAATACAGTTCTTCTTTACAGTAATATACTGTTAAACCAACGTTTCATTGGAATTTACGGTATAATTTACAAGTTACACCTAAAATCACCAAGAGTGCATTGCGATATATGACAATTTAGTACATTGCTATTAGTTTTATTGTATAGTACTGTAAAAAAAAAAAAAAAAACGACAAAAAAAAGGAACAGTGTATTTAACCAAAGAAGAGGATTAATTACAACACTAATTCAAAACCTAT